AGAGAGAGAGAGAGAGAGAGAGAGAGAGAGAGAGAGAGAGAGAGAGAGAGAGAGAGAGAGAGAGAGAGAGAGAGAGAGAGAGAAAGAGAGAGGAGTCTCTCTTTTGGAGTCTCTCTTTTGTGGTGTGTCGATTTGCCACTTCGCTTGTAGCTTTCGGCATGACGGCGGGCCGGTCTGTTGCCACGTGTCATGTGATCTTCCGCCCATCCAACACGCTGCGAAGGGGTGAACAATCCTACATCCACAACATGTTCCTGTCATTATGGCCTGTGCCATTATGGAAACCAACACGCCGTGTTTCCTCGCCTTTGTCTGTTTTCCCAGCGGCACTGTTCGCCACGCGCCAAAAACTCGAACTTTTTCCACGAACAAAATTCACAGTGCATTAGGGTTCGAGCAGAATCGCACAGAAGTCAACTCCTCGATTGGCCGTCTGCAGGCAAAGCAACCTTGCCGTCATGGGCTTGCTCTGATCATAAAAAACAATCAGATGCTTCGTCAAAACCAGAGCGACCGCACACGTTTCGTAATGGACAGTCGTATCGACCGGAGTGCACAACCGTAGCCGATGCGGGACGAGGTTCTCACTGCACTATGCCACGTGGACTTATGGAGGTTCTCCTCCAGCCGCGTTGAGTGCTCCACGGTCCTCGTGGCGCCACTGCGCGAACCTCGTTCTGCATCGACGACATTGCACGGTATCGCGCGCGACAAACTACCAAACACTTGGTCGATGTGAACGCAAGAAGAAGGCGAGAAAAGTTGCCGCAGTTGTGCAATGTTGTCATTGCTGAACGAGGTATGCCCCGTTGTCTGGCACGTGGACTGACACGTGGATCGCAGAGCACTCAACTCTGCTGGAGGAGAACCTCCATCAGTCCAGTTGGCAGATTGCGGTGAGAACCCCGTCCCGGATCGATTGCAGTTGTGCACTGCGGTCGATAGAAATGTCGTCGATGCGGAACGAGGTTCTCGTCGTTGTCTGGCACGTGGGCTGACAGACGTCCTCCTCCAAACACGATGAGTGCGCTGCGGTCCACGTGGCACCATGGAGCGAACCTCGTTCTGCAACGACGAAAGCTCGCAATTGGTCCAGCAGTCTGGTCGTTGTTGACGCGTCTGAGCCTTTGACGAGCGAAGTCAAAGGAGGCATGTGACGTGGCCCGTCGGGATCCAATCTTGCACACGTTCCTTCTAGCAAGTACACGAAGTTCGGATGCCGTCGGACTAGCACGGCGGCGATCCACAAGTGCAGCTCGAGATCGTGAACATGAAGTTCGGATCCCGACAGTCTCGCGCTTTGCCAACCAATCAGGAACGCGCACAATATGCACACGGCTCCACAATTGTCCGGACCAAGACACAACTCTCGTGCCGCTACGGTTGCGGGCAGTTTGCGGGTTGCAACCTGAACGGTGCCGGAATGACTGCTCGCTTTTTTGGACAAGCGGCCAGGCTAATTAGGCATGGCCCTGGTTCGACAAAGTTCGGATATCAGCGGACATCAAGAAATTTGCATCGCCCGTCCCGTCGTCTGCCAAGCCACCCATGGTGCCGTGACTGATCGGTTTTCGGACAAGCGGATCAACTCGGCTATATTTGTCGAAAGACCTCGATTCATGAAGTTCGGATCACGGCGTACTTCGCGTAGTGTGCGCCGTCAAATCGCTCGAATCGGAATACCTCGATTCATGACCAACGAATGTGTTGTCATTGCCAACAATGTTTGTGACCAGCCTTGCCTGTTTGACTTAGCCGTCGTTGCCGAGAACTCTGATTTCACGAAGTTCGGATCCCGACGGACTTCACGTAATGTGTGCCATGAAATCGCTCGGCTTGGAAGACCGTAGCTGCTCCAGCACCCGCCAAATTCGGATCCCGACGAACTTAGAGTCTCCGCGTAAATCTGACCGTTGTTTTCGACAGCTTGGACTTCCCCGTCCGTAGTCAAAAGTGCTCGCCTTCTGAGTTGCCTTGGAAGGGGTTCATTGGGGTTGACGACGGTGTCACTGGCCAGGTCTATTTCCGGTATGCCGTGGATCTTCGTTCATCGCCGCCCCGAAATGCGGTGCGCCCTAGCATCGTGCCTGCTTCTGTGCAAACGCCAACCACCCGTTCCAATACCTGCAGCCGCGCGAAGACCTGCTACTCGCTACAGGCGAATCAACCAAGTTCGGATCCTGGCGGACTTTGAGAATCGGCACATATCCAACCGTCCTTCGCGTGACGCTGGAGCTTCGAGTGCGAGTTGATTGCGAGAGGACCGTGGGTGCGAGAAATCGTTCGAGTTCTGAAATGCCCTTCAAGGCGTTTATGGGGGTTGCCAAAAATAAGGGACACGACCGTTGTCACCGTCGACAACCCCCATAAACCCCTTCAAGGGCATTTCAGAAGGCGAACAATTTTTTGCACCCCCGATCTTTGTTGCCCCCCAACGCTTCTGACCGTCGCGGTGCGCGGAGTATTGTCGCAGACATGCTTCTGTTTTTGTGTGCTGTGTGGTTCGCGCTGTCGCACGTTGCCGTTCGAGGCGCACGAGTCGAGGGTCGCCTTGTCGATTGACCGAATCAATGTTTGGAAGGATTGCAGGGGGGATCTTTCATCCATTTCTACATTTTTGTTCTGTGCGAAGTGGAGATGTCCAAGTTCGATAAGCTCTTGCACAAGTACGTTTGAATGAAACACTGCACGAGCTCGCGTAGACGATGGTGAGAATCAGTGTTTATAGGGGTGAGTTTGGGGTCGCGCTGCGCCAAGTTGTGTGGTGGTGCATCCACCACCACCCTTTGTTCTGCGCGTGCTCTCGCTCAATGACAACAGAGCCTTCCTTCTGTGTGCCCGAAAAGAGCGTTCCTTGTGTGCACCCACTGGCGCGGCGCATATCCAACCGTCCTTTGCGTGACGCCTGAAGCTTCGAGTGCGAGTTGATTGCGAGAGGACTCATCCTCCAAGAGAAATTTCTCGCCTTTTGAAATGCGCTTCAAGGGGTTTATGGGGGTCGCCGAAAATAAGGGACACGGCCGTTGTCACCATCGGCAACCCCAATGTGCGCCCAAACCGAGCGTTCGTTGTGTGCACCCACTGGCGCTCCCTTCCACTGACACCGGCCGCATGAAAACTGGTTTCTTGCTACTCCAGCACCTGCCAAATTCGGTTCCCGACGAACTTTGAGGCTCCGCGTAAATCTGACTGTTTTTTCCCAACAGCTTGGACTT